GACACTCGCTGGCGATGTTATCGGGTCTCCATCCAAGAAGGAGATATCGCAATATCTGAGCACGCTTTACAGGACTCAAACCACGCGTTAGACGGCGACGAGGACGCTCAGGAGGGTATCTATAAGCTCCGGGGATTGCTTCGTTTGCTGGAGGTTGGGGTGCAGAGGATTCTGGAGAGTTGGTCGCCTCGGATGCCATTTTTTCTGCGATACGGGGGTAATCTCGATATCGGCACAGACATAGGCTATAATTTCCTAATTAGAAAGTCAGAAGAACCTCAGATATGACAAATTCAGTAAAAAATCGATGGGATTTGGTGAGAAAAATCAGTATTTTGGTGGTTTGGAGGGCTTCCGATACAAAAGTTGCAATTTTTTGAGGTTTTGGGGTGCCAAGACTGCACCAAATTTTGCATACGCTAAATCATTATATCTAATCTAATCTGATCAGATTAGATGCTCGCGCTGACTGGTCCGAAGACCCAACACATTGGAGTGCCATCACTGATTTGCGTTCTTTTCTCCTTTTTTTACTCTATTTTGTTTTAGGCTTGGAGCGAACTCTGGTTTTGTCCTAAAGGAGTCCAACGGAGTGAAGATCGCTCTTCATCACAGCGATGTCGGAAAAAAGCAGATCTGGGCGGATTTTAAAACCGATGCCAACAGGTTGATGTTGCAGCAATTGGAATCAATATGGCTAATTTGTCTCGTCTCCTGGTTGCTGGGTCCGTCTGGCCCTCTCAGACCTTTCGGACTGTCCCTTATCAGCCGCCAAACCTGCACATCACCAAAGATGGCACGACTGCACCAGGTCTGCTGTTCTTTGATCAGAGCTGGCAAGGGGCAATCGACTTTGCGCCTCTAATCATGACAGATGAGAATCAGCTCGTCTGGCAAGGGCCCCCTGGGGTTGTCAGCAGCTTCCGGCCCCAGAGCCTGGATGGCGAACCCGTTCTTACATACTGGAATGGCACCGCTGGCTATAAAGACCCATAGGGCTTTGGATACGGGTCAATCAGCATTCTGGACGCGTCCTACGAGGAAATCTACCGCGTTCCTCTGCCAGACAAGACCTTCGTACCCCTGGACAACGAGACAAAGCCTTCCTACATTGATACCATGAGAACCGTCTTACGGACCGGGGAATCATCCTGGTGACAGCAATCAACATTACCAACTACGATCTGCGGCCCGTAGGGGGTCCGCAAAATAGCTGGGTGGCCGATTCCCTGTTCTACGAGATCGACGTCAAAACCAACGAGGTGGTGTATCGGTGGAGCGCGCTGGAGCATGTCGACGAGATTCCCCTCCAAGACTCCCTCTTGCCGTTGGATGGGTTTGGTGCCAATAAGACATATCCCTGGGGTTACTTTCACATCAACTCGGTGGACCTGTTTGATGACGGCGCGTATCTGATCTCGTCGCGGTACTACTGCTCCATCTTCCGGATCAACCCGAACGGGACGGTCGACTGGCGTCTTCAGGTAAGTCGTCTTGTACCCCTACCTATTTCTTTGAGCAAAGCCTCATTTTGAATCTAGGGGAGGGATGGAGGTGACTTCCGTCTGGGACCGGAAACGAACTTCTGCTACCAGCATGACGCGCGAATCCGCTCCTCCTCGCCTGACCAGGTGACGTTCAGTATCCACAACAACGCCAACTCCCCGATCGACAACGGCACCCACCCAACCACCGGGCTGGTGCTGACCCTGGATCTGAAGTCACGAGAGGCCACTGCAGACCGAACGCTGTTGGATCCCAACGACACCATATACAGCGAGTCACAGGGCAACTATCAAGTCCTGCCAGGCGGACACGTGGTCCTGGCTCACGACCAGATCCCCAAGATCAAGGAGTACAATTCCATCGGACAGTGCGTCATGACGGTTCAGTTCGGCGAGGATAACCAAGTGGCCAGCTACCGGGGGTTTCGCTCCGTATGGACCGGACGGCCCAAGACACCGCCCGTGGCGTTTGCCTGTGCTGAAAACAACCGGACAAAGGTGTATATGAGCTGGAACGGCGCGACAGAGCACCGCCAATGGCATGTCTATGGCGGGACGAGTCCAACTCAGTTGAGGCTCGCCGCGGTGGTCAACAAGACGGGGTTCGAGACCGTCGCCGTCATTAATGCCACTAGTTATGTGCAGGTGACTGCAGAGGAGGACGGGAAGAGCACGAAGTCGTCGGTGGTTTCGGTGGCATCGACATGCTAGGCAAGATGAAGTCTGAAGTCAATCCTGTGAAGTGCAGACTCGAAAGTGAGGATTTTCAATCGAGGGGTCACATAGACGTCTGTACCACTTCATATGCAATTTTTATTTCATTCATCAGCTTCTTGGACAATCATTCCTGTCAATCATTCCTGTCTTTCTTTTTCTACTGATTAGTTTTTCAATTATATAAATGAGCATTAAGTAAATATACATTCATATGCCAAGCACCGCATCCGTGAACACCATCATATCATTGTGGGGACTTTATTTAAAAAAAAAAAAAGAGGAGTAGTCTGTTAAAGGAAGAACAAGCAAGACAATTGTCCACCGTCGATATGCTGTGAGCTCGAGATAGTATATGAGTCTATGGACATGTAAATGCATACCTACTCCATACCCACCGAGCAATAGAAGTTCAAACCAACCAGCTCTTCAGAAATAAAAATTAAAGGTATTCCTGGCATATAGTGTTCACTTATTTCTAAACAGATCAGATGATAAGATATAAGGACAGTAAAAAGTGAAAAGCGTGGTCCTGGTCAAAAAGAAAGAAGATTTACGTAGACAAAAATACTCAGGTTTGTAAAAGGCACGTAGATGATAGACTGGCCATATGGCCATGCCAGCTAGCAAAGGATATTAAAATATCTCTTGCTATCCCCTAGCCTTCTCTCCTTCTATTCGTCAGCTTCTTTTTCTGTATTTTTTAGGGCAGTCTCCAAATTACTTGCAACGTTAGTCGAATTCCTCCCTTTCTTCTTCCGTCAGTTAATCTCCGCCACAGCCCTGAGAACAGAGACGTATCCTTGCTTTTTGTTTATTTTTTGTTTATTTTTATTTATTTTTATTTATTTTTTGTTACCGCTTTCGGATGTGTTCTACACTTCTGTAGAAGAAAAAGGCTTGCTTCCTAACCAAGTATGTGCTGTGTTGTCGAGTGCTCGGACCTTAACCTGCCCTCCACATTCCACAGAAATAAACTCTGCAGAAGGTGACGTGAGGGTCGTGGCTTCTGTCTCACTTTTGGGGGGACAGAGTCGATCTAGAAAAGGTCAGTTTTGGGGGCTGGTGCGCATGCCAGTCGCACATCTGATGCAGATAAAGAATTTGGAGGTATGAGTTGGGCCGCGGCCGGATCCTGTTTTACATTGTAGTAGATCAGAAATATACTTCGGTGAAAGGACTGGATTGGGATTTTTTCTGCAGTTCTCTCAGCCCAACGAAGGCGCCCTGCAGGACACCCCTGTCTGGCGGGTGATACATGCAACGCAGTGCAGATGCAGGATGCATGGAGGTCGGGATGGCCAAAATAGGCAATGATCTAAGATTTCGAGGGGCGAGGAGGCTGGGAGGTCTGTGGCGTGGATCGGAGAAGTCAATGGCTTCAGCAATAATCTCCGTACTGGAGAACGGTCTTCTTGCAGTTCTGAAAAGACATCGACATCGATCGGCTGCTCATTCTGGCAGTGACGGAGTGCAGGCAGCGGGTGCTCCATCCGGGGAAAGAACTTCTTTTGTTAGCGACATGACGTGGCGTGCTGGTATACTCCCACAACACTCGACCAAACAAACAAACACGACTTTGTGTCTCGAGCAGCAACGACCAACGATGGATGTGGCATCCCTTACGACGCGGTTGACTTGGATTTCCCCCAGAATAGCCCAGGCGAGCGATCGCACAGACAAGGGGCAAAAAGGCTGGCTGCATTCGGCATCAGGCCCGTCCGCCGCATTCCTCGGATGCCTTTACAGCACCACGCGCCAGCCAGACCAAGACTCTGTTTCATGATGTCGACACTCGCCTTCCCCCGTGCGTCGTCTCATCCCACTGCTCTTATCCCTATCTATCTATTATTCCGATGTTATCGACGGTTTGGCTGCAGCTGGAGTTAGCGGTGATAACGGACGCACTGATCGTCCAGCACAACCTCAGTAACGTCCTGGCATCCTTGCAGAAAAACTCAGCGGGCTGTGGCTAACTAATGCTCGTCTCTTGCTCCAGACTCCGGATTTCATTCCTCTCTCCTTTGTTCACTCGTCCAGCCCGTTTTCTAGCCTCGCGCTCCTCCGCTGTGGCGGATCCGTCTCTCCCACGCGGGCGCCCGGCACTGGCTGTCCTTCCCCCCGCCCCGTGGATCCGGGCCACCGCCATTATCTAACTACTCCACCCCGTTGCTCGCGCCAAATCGCCGTGAATACGGAGCAATGGGGCGCCCCATGGATCCCATCGGGCTCCACTGCTGCTCGGCGGCTCCTGAGACGCCAGCGGAGCCCTTATCGACGTCAGCCGGACAGTGGACCACGGCTCCAGGCGCGTGAAAAGCTGTCGCTCCTCTCATAAGCTGCCCTGGTCCGCACAAGAATCGTGCTGCATTCTGGAAGTCTGAATCCTGGGTGAATTTTTTTTTCTCACCCCTGGGTCTCATGAACTCTTTTCTCATTCCCCTTCTGTGAACTATATAGCTGCTTTTTTTTTTGTCGCTGTGGACAGTACAGTATATATCCAAGGGCAACTTGGCCCCATTTACCTATGACGGAAGCTTCCGCCAGCCCATCTCTATCCTTCCGCGTGACCTGAATATTTTGCTGAATTGGCCCACACGGCGCGATGCCAGCTTGCAACCCCCATTGACCTGAGTCTACAAAACTCGGGGATGCGAATGAGAGCTCGGAAGTAGCTACGCAACGTCCATCCCTCATCGTCGTGGCTTCCTGGCTAAATTGGCGCCTCTGATATGATTAGTCCGATACATTGGTCACACCGACTCGGTTTACTTTCCACATTACCGAGTCTGGAACGCCGTGGCTTGCAATAGCTCCCAGTCTGACAGTTATCGAGCTTCCATCGCAAGCGGTCTAATTAACGATTGGCGCCTATCCGCGATCTAGCTCTGAAGAAGCTACCTCGCAAGGTACCCCCTTTTTCGATGCCCGCATAAGATATTGTTCACCTTGGCGCCGCGCAGGATTAGATTGCTCTTATTCCTGCGCTGGCGAAAGATATCTCAGAATATTCCTTCTGCTCCATTACGACGACTTTCTTGCTCGGAGAACAACCAGTGGTCAATTCGTCACCGGCATCGGTGCCCATCATGTGCGACGAACCGTGGACGGGGCCAACGCGGCCATTCTGGACAGAACAATCGCAATCCACATGTCAGAGCAATCCAGGCTCTATGCCTGAAAAGTGTCTTCATTGGTCGAGCACCTGGGAAGGGACGCAGTCAGATTTCTCAGGCTTTGCGGCAGATACACAAGCGATGGACGAGACACCAGATATTATCACCTTAGATTCGCCACTGGGCCAGGCGACAGAAACACACAAGTCAGATATCGCCAGCGAGTATTTGGCTTCCTCACCTGCCTCGGAGGAAACCGCCAGCTCGGAAAATGGGTCCTCGGTGTCAGGGGTATCCAGCCCGATTCATTCGGCGGGAGAATCGCCACCAATGGAACCCGTTTCGCCAATGTCGCTGGATGATAGCAAGGAGCTACCTTCGTCGGAGGATGCTCTTGGCTCAGTTGAGAGAACTCCGTCGCAATCGAGGCCTGCACCAAGTATCCCACGTGCAGTGGCCAAAAGACTGCTACGGCTTCTTCCCAGATCGTCTCATCTCGCTCTCCGTCTAACGTGCAAGGCATGGCGTCGAGCAGTCGATCAGGTGGCGCCGCTGACTCCCCCGGCGGCCAATGTCACCCCGCCCGAGATTCTGTTTCAAATCTTTAGCATGCTGAGTCCGCGAGACTTTGACAATGCTCGACGGACGTGCTCCCAGTGGATGCGCGCCAGCTTGAATAAAGATCTGTTGGAGGCCATGTTGAAGAGAGCCGGCTGGTGGGATGCCTGGCAGCGGGACTGCCAGTTAGCTCGTCCGGCTAACGAGGTCGAGGAGAGTCTTGTGTGGAGAATGAGCAAGCGTTTCTCGACCGAATGTCTCTTGTCTGGTCGCAAGAATAATGTGGAACGAGGCGGTTTTCTGCCTACTGCAGTGGTGGATTTCTCCAAGTTGTCGCGTGAATCCCTGCCGAAAGAGTCGCCTGGGTATGCCCGTAGCGTATTAAGCGGACCGTCCCACACTCCCCGGCTCACGGCGGCCCTGAGAGACCCGGCTTTCTCACGTTCGCTGAAATTTAGTGTCAGCAGTTGTGGCCATTACGTGCTGGTTGCGACGGGCTGCATGATCTATGTCTACCACCTCCGAAACAGAAAACGAGGAGACTCCCAGCCTCCTCCTTTATCAGCGGACAAGACGCCGGAGACTCTTCATGATGATGATCTCGATATCTTGCCCATCTCCAGCATCGGGTGCCCTTACGAGGTTCTCTCGGCTACCATTGACACCAGCACGCCGCGATTTGTCATTGCAGCATTGCTCCGGGGTCGTGTCGGCATGATATGCGACATCAAAGGGGCGCCTGTCTATCCGTCTGGGGAACCGTCCTCTCCCGTCTCGAAGAGAAGCTCTGGTAGCGTGGGACAGGCAGACGTGAAAGACGATACGACCCTCAATGAGATACGTGAAGCAATCGCTTCCAGTGCCACCGTCGCTGAGGCTGGTCCTCGCGGTGGTGGCAGACCAGGCTTGTCTTCTCGTCCCGTATCGTCACGGCGGACGATGAACCGAGTGACCAGGACTCCTCGAAAGTACTACCACGACCTGTGTTCGGCAGAAGACCCGCCGCGCAGCGTTTCGATCTGTCCGGGCCGTCGATGCGTCGCCTTTGGGTGTGGTTCAGGAATTGAGCTCCACTGGGTCGACGAGAAGACCAAAGAAGACCAGCGGAAGCTCTTCCCGATGTCCCAGCCGGCCGAGATCCTGCATTTCCTGCCTCAGCGCTCGGAGATTGACGAAACCACCAAGTTGAGACTGATCTCATCCCTGGCGGGGCCAGGTGCATCTGGATGCCAGTGCTATCGATCCGCGAACGGAGAAGACGGGGTGGCGTGCCAATTCCATCTGTCAACCGGCGTCAGCTCCTTCACGCATTGGACGCCACGAAAGAATGGACGGTTGAGCCTCGTGAGGGCGACACACTGCCACCACTACCGTGCGATGCCGATCAACGACGGCTTGCATATCCTTTTCATCGAACCCTTTACCGGGCTCCTCTGTATTGGGTCTGACGCTCCAATCGGCGGTCCCACCAGCCTGACCAGAGCGCTCGTTTGCGTTCCGCCTTTTGACAGCAACCTCACTGACGGTTGGAAAGAGGAACGCGTCCCTACCGTGTTTGCCGCTGGATCAGATCTGAGCTGGGGTCTCCGGATCGTGGCCGCCTACCAGGACCGGATCATTCTGTATTCGGTGCCGCTGGATGTCTTCAATGTCATCCGACGGGAGCATGAGCTGCAGGGGGACGGGGTCATGGGAGACAGCGATCTGGCCCGTGACTGGTTCTTGGACGCGGACCGCGGCACTCAGCAGCGTCGTGGCAGCCTGGCGCAGAACCAGAATGGAGACTGGGAGTTCCTGCTCCGGGTCAGCTACCGACCGACGGCGATGATGTGGCCGCTGAAGATCTACGGGAAGGAGATCGGGAAGATGGAGAGGGTGGTCGAATTCTCGATTCAGACGTCGCATGGCGGGGTGCGTGTGTGGGCGTTTGGTGCCTCCGGGGAGGCGCGCATCTTCGACATCGACACGTGCACGTCGCGGACTCGGCCTGTGGGCAACATTGGCGTCAAGTCGCTTTCGATCGGATCCGATGGCAGCATTGCGTCGGCGATGTTGGTCGACCGAGCCGAGTCTGGTCTTCTCTCGCCGCTGCCGGTCAGGGCCACGCGCAAGCGGAAACAGCTCAGCCAGCCGGCGTCCTTTGACCGGAAGCTGTTCGCCATGTCGACAAGTGGCAGCAGTGAAAATGGAACGTCCTCGCCTTCCTCTCCATCAAGAACATCTGACGACACCGACAACACCAACAACCGCAAGAAGCGCCGTCCTTCCTTTGCTGCATGCATTATGGATCTCAAGATCCCCGAACTGGGGGCCCGTGAGGGCCTGTGGATGGAGCCTGGGACTGGCGGTGATAACAGCACTGCCGCAGGACTCGAGTTCCACGACATTGCATCCTACGACCCTCACGACCTGCGGAAAGCGTTGTGGGCGACGTCGACGACGTCGGGGTTGCGACATCCGTCGGAGCGAGAGCGAGGGTTGCCGATCAGCCAGTGGCAGTAGGCAGCCAAGCTTGAATTTTTGCATCACGATATCACATTTTATACGAGATATGTTACCATCATATATCTGCTTCATATTCACCGTTGTCATGTCTTTCAAGCATTTGCGTTCAGCCGGTTGGGATTACAGGGAGCATGGAATCAAGCGAGCAGGCAAGGACAAAGGCATTTCAAAGGCATTTCCATGATACGATGCAAACGCCACTTATGATGAGAGATTTATCCATATTCATATTCATATTTTTTTCTTGATATGATTGATTGATTGATCGATAGCGGTTATAGCAACATGCTATGTCATGGTATCTATCTCATGGATCGACGCAGAGATCCCGGATGGGTTGATGGTTGGTTGGTTGATTGATTGATCGATTGATTCCCTTCGATATAAGTGTGTATATTGTATTATTATATTATATACTTGGAATGATACCTGAAAATATCGCCCTTCTCATTCATCTTTCTTCCTTGAATCTTTAGTTGATCTTAACCTTTCGAGATGACTACTACTTACTACTTACTCTGATGAGAGGTAGTTCGTCTGTTTGGTCTATCGAAGGCTGAATTGAGCTGAACTGAACTGAATTAAATTCAATTGACTGATTGAATAATCCAAATACGAAGCCTCCATAAAAAGAAAACAACAAGTCCATGAACTTTCCGCACTTGGTTTTTTTTTCTCTTTTGCTTTTGCTTTTTGATCATGACATAATCTAATCTCATCCAATCCTCTCGTGATCAGATCAGGTTCCTAATTAGATAGGTCTCAATCAGATAGATAGATAGATAGACTATATCTCATGTGCAAAAAGAAGAAAAAAAAAAGCGCATGCGACTCGACTCGACTCGAACAGAAACTTTTTTTTCTTCGTCTTTTTCTCCTTCTCTCTTGGGAAATAATAGATGAGGACCAAAAACAAATGAAATAAAATAATGAAGATCGAGGGAATCTTTCAAGGAGATAATAAAAGACAAAAAAAAAGATACGTAATGAAATGGGGAATCCGAAAATTTTTTTTGTTCTCTCTCTCTTTTTTTTTCTTTCCCAATCAGTCCACTAACAAAGCTAGTATTAATCCCGTTCCTGTTCTCGTTCCCTCGCTCGTTCGTGGCTCGTCTAGTCTCGTCCGGTCTCGTCCTGATGGTTCAGTTGAGTTGAGTTGTGCTGTGCTGAATTAATGCGCCGTTCCGTTGACGGCGAGCTTCTTCTGCCGCGTGCGGACGGCCTCGGCCAGCTGCTCCAGAACGATCTCGGTGTCTTCCCATCCGATGCAGGCGTCGGTGATGCTGACGCCGTACTTCAGGCCGGCCTTGCCCTCGGGTGGGACCTTCTGGTTGCCTGCGCAGACGCTGTTAGCCTCGTCTAAACTAGACTAAAGCAAAAAGGACATTATTTCTGTATGTATGTACACACCCTCATTGATGTTGCTCTCGATCATCACTCCCATGATGCCCGTCTCTCCCGCGGCGATCTGCTCTGCCAACACCGCCGCCACCTTGGGCTGGTTCTTGTGGTTCTTCTGCGAGTTGCCGTGGCTGCAGTCGACCATCAGCCGCGGCTTGAGGCCCTTCTCGACCAGCTTGGCCTTGGCCTCAGCGATGCTCTTTGCGTCGTAGTTGGTGCCCTTCTTGCCGCCGCGCAGGATCACGAAGCAGTCCTCGTTGCCGACCGTGCCGACAATGGCGGCCACACCGGGTTTCGTCACCGACAGGAAGTGGTGCGGGTGCTTGACGGCGCCAATGGCATCGACTGCGATATCCAGACTGCCGTCCGTGCCGTTCTTGAAGCCCACAGGGAACGACAGACCAGACGCCAGCTCCCGGTGGACCTGGGACTCGGTCGTGCGGGCGCCGATGGCTCCGACGGACAGACAGTCGGCGAGGAACTGCGGGGAGATGGTATCGAGCATCTCGCTGGCGATGGGCATGCCCTTATCCGTCAGATCGACGAAGAGCTGGCGCGCGACGCGCAGGCCCTTGTTGATCTTGAAGCTGTTGTCGATATCCGGGTCGTTGATCAGGCCCTTCCACCCGACCGTCGTGCGCGGCTTCTCCAGGTACGAGCGCATGACGATCAGCAGCGCGTCCGCGTACTTCTCCCTCAGCTTCAGCAGGCGGTCGCAGTACTCGAGCGCCATGTCCGGGTCGTGGATCGAGCAGGGGCCGACGATGACCAGCAGCCGGTTGAGCGGGTCGGTGCCGTGCACGATGGCCACGGCCTCCTGCCGGCCCTGGAGCACCGTTTTCAACGAATTCTCCGTCTGGGCAATCTCATGTTGTAGCAGGTTTGGCGGCGTGAGGGGGTTGTATCCTCGAACTGAAGTGCAAATTTGTCAGTAGACATTCACTAGAAAAAAAATTAAAGGCGACATACTCCGTGAATCTTCAGGATGGCTGAAGTTGCCCACATTGGGGTTCTCAATGAAGAATTGCTACATTGTAGAGTCAGCATATTGCTATAGCAGTCATCCTCGCGACGAGCTGGTTGCGACACTTCTTATAAAGGGTTGTAAATTGTAACTCACCGACATGATCAGGAAGGTGGGGGCCAGCAAGCAAGCAAGCAGCAATTCTCAATTCAATTCAATTCAATTCAATTCTCTGCAAGTTCGGTGAGAACCAGCTCGTCGAACAAAAGGAAAAAAAATCGCAAATCGCGCAGACACAAAAAAAAGGATTGAACAATCAATTGTTAAGTAGTTAAAGAGGCAAAATTAATTTCCCCCCCCCTTATGATTCATCGAAAGCTGCAAGTCTCGGCCCTGGTGATTAGATAAAAAAAATCCACGCCTGCGATTTCGGCCACCGAGTCATCGCTCCTTCCTTTGTCCGCTGACGTATGGTGAGCCCCTCGCTACCCCGATCGGGTAAGGTTTGAAATCGAATTACCGCAAAAAATACTAGTGGGAATTATCAGTACGGAGTACCTAAGATTTTTATCTATAAAACTGTTCAAAGATCAGTACTATGGTAATTAATTCTGCTGACTTGAATAATATTTAAAGTGAAAATAAACAAAATCAAACACTGATATATTGTGAGCAGTCCGATTTCGGCTGATTGACGCTTCTTCTTGTGCGACAGGATGCAAATACATCGTAGTTGATTAGCTGCAATACTCCGTACTCCGGAGGCGGCCTTCCATGAACTTAATGAGATAACAGATCCCATCCATGGACAATAGTTCTGCTGGTGTAACAGTTCGAGTCGCCCTGCTGCAGGTTTTCTTTCATCTGCTTGCATGTGGCGTATTAGACGTGTTTCCTACTAAGTGATAATGCAGCATGAGTTTTGTTTCTTTGTCAATGTATAAAATAGTTCAGTCTTTGTGCTTATATCCCCTGCTCTTTAAGATAAAGTTTTCGATTTCTTCCCTTCTTTCTAGAGACAGATAGTAAGTGAGTGACTAGACTTTGCTCTTAATGGGCATGTTATCCCATGAAGCTCCTGGATCTTGAGAATCCTATCACATGATTCTGGTCCTGACAAGCCTCTATATGTCATTAAGACAGTAAACAAAGGCGTAGTTGTTTCATAGGGTGCTCCCATTGGGACTCATAACACAGTAGAGAGAATTCAATGCGCTGCAATAGACAGATACTCGCTATTTCTGGTAAGTATAGGTGAAGATATCAAATACTCCGTATGCATCAAGTCCACATTTGCTTATTAGGACGCTATAATATCGCTAATATTCAGGGCTGGATTTCCTTTTTCTTGAATATCTTATCTATGCCTGACTTGCTAAATATGGTCATTGATTTGCTAGTAGTCGCATGAAATACGTGTAGCTGCTGACCTTTCACTTGGTGCAGAGCTCAACTGCTAGCCGTTGTGCTCAAAGAATCGCAAAGCTGCCACTGTATGATCGCATGACAGATCAGACTACAATTGATGCTCAATTTTAGTCAGTAGGTATTTTTCTCGGTAATGTGATTACAGGGTTCTACCCGAATTAACCTAGCGGGGATGGTCAGATCATCGCTCCGCCCCATGAATCATTCTTTTCTTGTCCTTCCTGGTTAGACTTCGGTGAAGCTTCGGCCTTCCCCGGGCTGTATGCACAAGTCTTACTTCGTACAGTATTAGCAGGAGGACTAATTAAAGTCCCAGATAGGTAGGATTTGCTCCCTGGTACCCCCCCGATGTGACTCACTGACTCATACATACTCCGTACTGTATGAACGCGAATCATCCTAACGTTTAATGTCGATTGAACCGCCCTTGCATGCAGCTAGGGAAATGAGAAATGTATCTAGTATAAGGGTTATCGAGAATTCGAAAGCGCAAAAAAAATTGGATTCCACCATTTGCCCGTATTCTTCTATTCTGTCATATTGCTTTGTCCCTAATGTAATCAGCTGCCTGTTATTCGCCGAGGCAGGGGCCGTCTACGATTTGTCAGTACAAAACTGCCCGGGCCGTCCGGCTGGTTCCCGAAAAAAAGAGCGTGCTGACTACCACCGGCCCATTATTGGTCGAAGCCAAAAAACTTCCATATTATCCATGCCATTACTATTGCCCCTTTCGTAGCAGCACGACGTAACCACATGGGCTCGTTATTATTGTCCGCTGGCAGGAGTGTATCAACGAATTTAAAGCGGTGTTATGTGTCTTTCGCTAGATTAAGATAAAAGAGACACTTTGAGGCTGCCTGCCAGATTAGGTCGTCTCGCTTGACTATATATATTGTCAAATTGATGCGACCCGCATTTAAAGGGAGATGGACTAAATATAACAATCTGTGTTTGAAGATGTCCTGTAGTGCTTTGGATAACTGCTGAGATGGTGCAGTTTTAAATCTGCCGTATATATTTACATCGAGGTTGCGTCCTAGAGCAGAACAGGTAGATGAAGGATGAGCGATACTGATCTTCCCTGTTTCTTCTAGCCCAGTATCAAGATGAATTCTTCACGAGCATCCTCAACTGAGAAAGAAGAGGACTCAGTAGGAATGTGAGCCTTTTTATTTATTGCCAATGTTCCATATATATATATATAGATGACCTCTATACAGCTCCACTGCCATGATTCATTCCAACCAGGACTGCCTATGATCTTCAAATGAATAACTCAACTCACTTGCAGTACGGAGGTAGCAGACTGCGGATATAATATTTCTTAAACAGCATCATAGGCACAATTCGTCAGCAAGCGTCTCCCTTTGAAGGAGAAACTGTCATGAGCAATTCCATCATGACTGACAATCGACTTTTTTTTTAATCTGATCAGTCTCCGATCAATTTAAGCATAACGATCCCTTGTATATATCCATGGATTAGCTCTCTACTACCAATCCAGGCTTAGACACGGAAGAGGCCAATCCCGAACCCGGCTTGGCGGGTGCCGAGGTCCAGGATGGCGTACGCTGGTAGCTGCCTACATGAGCTCCGCATCAGAGTGAGGATCACTATTTCGTTTTTGAGTCTTTTTCTGATCTGTAGGTTGATTCTGATCCAATTGCACATATATACTTAAATACGTACATACATGGCGCGTATTGCGCAATCTCATCTACTAACCCAAGGTTCTGCATAGCGGAGGAATAGGGATTGTCGCCTGGGGCATCAACATCAACATCAGCGTCAACGATCATGCCCGAACGCCCTCGATTCCACGAGAGAGTACTCGCATTCACTCGTGCTGGCACAAAAAAGACTACCCCTTGTTATAGGGCCTGCTCTTCTCTCCCACGACCATCCTCAGAGCGACTGCAGAGATCGACTCGACCAGATTCGCTAGAACTTGCCCAGGATCTTCCACGAAAGGTCACCTCCTCCGACACTCACCACCATGACGGAGACAGAGACGGAGACAGACCAACTGAGAAGAAGCAACCTCCCGAAAAAGAGGAGCAGACGGTGCTCTACCTGGCATACGGCTCGAACCTGTCGGTAGAGACGTTCCGCGGACGCCGCGGCATCAGACCGCTTTCGCAGGTCAACGTCTACGTGCCGGAATTGAGACTGACCTTTGATCTTCCTGGCGTGCCGTATATAGAGCCGTGCTTTGCGGGGACGCAGTTCCGTACCAATACTGCTAACAAAGACGAAGAGGGCGCGGAAAAAGAAGAAGCTGTTGCTGAATATGTTGATCCTACTAGTTCTATCGATATCGAGAAAGCCCCTCTCCTCCAGGACCAGAGACATGGACAGGCCCACACACAGGACTATCACAAGAACCGATGGCACAAACCGCTTATCGGGGTCGTCTACGAGGTGACCCTGGCCGACTACGCGCGCATCATCGCGACCGAAGGCGCAGGCCACGGATACCGCGATGTCGTCGTCACCTGCTACCCGTTTCCCGACTCGTATCGCCCGGAAGACCCTGTGCCCGAGCATCCTGATAGGGACAGAAATACAACGCTGCCTCCGTTCAAGGCGCATACGCTTCTCTCCCCATTCGCGTGGAATGATGAGACGAATCGATATTCCCTCCTCCGACCCGATCCGGCATACGCCCAGCCCTCCGCCCGCTATCTCAACCTGATCAGGACCGGCGCTGCAGAGCTGGACTTCCCTACCGAGTACCGCGCCTATCTCGCCTCCATCCGGCCGTATCGCATAACCACCCTGCGGCAGCGCGTGGGGAAAGGCGTCTTTCTCACACTGTGGCTTCCTCCGCTCTTCGTACTCGTAGTTCTTTCGTCGCTTCTCGCGGATGCTGATGGTCGTAGTCCCGACTGGCTGGGGAAAGTACAAGATGCCGTAATGAAGGCTATGTGGTCGAGTTACGATAGGTTTTTCCGGAAAATCTTTGGTGATGGTGAGAGGACGATTGGAGATGTATGATGATGATAGTCATGTTGGACCTTCTTTTTTTTTTTCTTGTATAGGATCATACAGACATCAATACAGACATCAATACATGGGTTTACTATTCAACAGTAGCACAGGAAAAGAGACATCAGGAATCAAAAAATGGAAAAAATAAACGAGCAGACACTTCACAAAGGAAATCTAACGACTATTTTGATGTATGTATACAAAGGAGTACAGGGCATACGCCAATGTATACCTGTGGAGTTAAAAGAGAGGTGCCGTCTTTCTCTTTTGTCAAACACAGTTTCAAGAAAATATCTAGCGTACAGATACAGAGATTTCTGGATGATATCGGCTGGAGACAAGACAGATGACAAGGGGAATAGTCGATGACCGAGACGAGTTCTCCGTTTAGTGTTTCACCGGCGGGTTGTACACGATCTTCCTCGTCTTGATGGCAGCCCACTTGTATCGCTTGACCCACACGCTCAGGGCGAACAGACCCGCCAGCAAGGTCAGCGCCTTCATTCCCATCTTCTTGCGCTCATCCATCTCTGGTTCGGCGGCCCAGTTCAGGAATTCGACAACGTCCTTGGCCATCTGAGAGGTCGTGGCCGGGGTGCCGTCCTCGTACTCAACCAGACCGTCAAACAGGACACGAGCCATGGCGATACCTACCACACGTTAGTCTCGCTGATTTTATTAATTAGGATTCATGTTTCATACCGGTGCCGGGGAAGTACGGGTTGAAGTTCATGCCCTGCTGGACCTGGGCGCCCGCCGGAGGCTCATCCGGGTAACCCGTCAAAAGACTGAAGATGTAGTTGCAGCCACCGTGACGACCCTTGACGATCAAGCTCAGATCCGGAGGAAGGGCACCGTTGTTGGCAGCACGGGCGGCCTCCTCGTTCTTGTAGGGAGGCGGGATGTAGTCGGAAAGCTTTCCAGGGCGCTTCTCGATCTCGCCCTGCTCGTTCGGCTCAGTGTCGTACTCGTGCTCTTCGGCCATGGCCTTCATTTCATCAACAGTGTGCATCACACCAACAAATGCGCGCCACGGGACACGGCTGAGGGAGTGGCAGCTTGAGCAAACTTCGCGGTAGACCTGGAAACCACGGCGAAGGCTGGAAATGGATGAGTATGAATTGCGCTCTAGCAGAGTAATTGGCTACTCACGCCTGGTGATCGAAGGTCTTGTTCCATTTCTGGTGTTCCCAAGGGTACCGAGTCGGGTGCAACCTGGATCATCGCGTATCAGCCTCAACACCATTCCCCAATCGAGTCGACTCAGCCGCAGAGCTCACCCTTCCTCAGCAGGCGTCATTGCAAAAGCCTCTTGTCCGAACAGATGGTAGTACCAGGCCGCCGAGCCGATAGTAGCGATCGTGGCAGCGGTTGCCGTGAGGGTGAGGTAAAACGGAGAGCTCGCATTCTCAGCGCCGGATGACGTGGAAGATGCCCGCTGGACAATTGATCAGTAAAAGACCGCCAGAGTCAATGAAGGAGGTCTGGAAAAGCCATTGCCCTATTCCAGCAGGGTCAATGGCAGCCGCACCGTGGGATTGCGTACCGAGGGCTGGCGGAGGCTGCGTGCGATGGCCCGCGAGGGCGCAGCACGCAGGACGGAACGAGCCAGCATTGCTGCTAATGTAACCAAGACCCTCCGTTGAACGAAACAGAGGAGGAAGGAACACGAGCGCGGGAGGGGTAGAGAGGGGAGGGACGGTGGGCACCGCGAGGGTAGATGTCCTTGAGGCTGGAAGTGAAGTTGGAAGTTGGCCGTCGGAGCTCGTCAAGTTTCTCTTGGGGGTGGATTGGCTACACCTTCGCGCTGATTGGCTGGACGACCGGCCTTGGCCATCCTCGGCGAAAACCGCGCCGGCTCTCCCTCTCGTCCATGCCACGAGGACGGCATGCCTGGTTGCAGTGCCTTCGACGAGGTCATTGAGCAGTTATAGAAGCATCGTCGATGTCAATTGACTTCGAGAATTACGACTATCAGAAAAGCCACCCATGAAAGCCCGAGACGTCCAGGTACATCCTCATACGACCTAGGATAGCTCTCTAAGAGATGGCAGTTGATATCATGCCTCGAGCAGCCCACAGTTGAACGAGACCTCTTGCAACCAAAGACATGTCCATACAGAAGTCTCTCCCACTACGCATTATTATTTGGGAGCGTCCAATACTCATAATGTCACACATGTATCCACCTAGTGGCTCGCTGATATCCTAGATCCCGCCTCTCTTTGGCCAGACGTAAAATGACACCAGCAGGATTCATCCAAAGCCCAGATGCTAATGAGTTTCACTTGCAATTCGAGTTCAGTCATGCCAGCAACTCGTTAGATGGTGAGGCTGTCAAGTATAACGCCTAACTGGGATATGAGCCAATAGGGGCATTTTGCCGCTCATGCCCGCCTTCTTCCTGACTGCAGCTTCAACAGTTGTTTTGAAGCCATTGACCACTCTAGCGCCTTGGACTTTGCTTCTTTTCTGCTCTTTTCTATACTTCAAAGATGACGGATCCGGATCCGTAAAGAGAGTCATACGATCTTCTATATTCTAGAGATAGTTTATCCAACAATACCAGCGGTCACTTTGTCGACCCAGCGAGGCCATCGTCCGCCGCAACACCCCTCTTGCGACAAGAATTTCCACCGCTTGTCCTTCCCAATGTCTTTTCGAGAGAGGCAACATGTCGAACGTCAAGAAACCCCCGGTGTTTATCGGCCCGCGCCGAGACGTCGTGGCTTCGCTGAAGATGGCTTCGATGGAGTTTTCGAAGCCAGCTCTTCCTGCCGGTATGCGGTCTGCTGTATTGATTCAACGGGCTCTGAAAGAAGCTAATATAACGTAGAGATAATGTCTCTGGTCTTGGATTATGTGGGGCCAACAGATCTTATCAGGATCGCACAAACATCGAAGCGGATGCGGGAAATGGCATACGATGATACAAGATGGGTGCAGAGACTGAAGCTCATGGGTTGCTGGGACGAACTGCAAGCAAGAAAACTATCAGAGCAGGCGGCTATCATGACTGGTCTCCCACAAGGGACAGGAGGTGTAGTATTGAATGGGGAGAAGCCCATCGCGAATGGAACAGAACACCAGTCCCATGACCGGAAAGCCTCGACGTCTGACGGCTTTGATCCAACACCGATATCATCTGTGGGAAATTTGGAGCAATCTGTAACTTCCACACAAGACAGTGCACTGGTGGTATTGAAAAACGTCAAGTCAATCCGTGGGCAGGCGCGCCAGGAGTATGGGAAGGTTCATGCTGCTTTATCGCCGTTCTACGAGGACATTGCAAATTCAGGAGGCTCAACGGAGAGCTTGGTTTTCAAGAGGTACACTGAGCCAGAGAGTCAGGCTCAGATGCTTTCTCAACTGCAGGCATTCGCAAAGAGTGACAATACTCAAGGCTGGTACGAGAGAGAACAGCGGCTTCGTATGGCTGTCTCGTTGTTCGAGACCGCGGCTCTCAAAGAGTTTCGAAATGGCTATGAATCGGACGATATTGACGTTCTCATGCGGAGATATGCACACGTGCTGTGGATACTCAATGGGGGTCAGTCTGCAATTGACCTGTTTATCCATCATAATCATCTTATAACCCGGAAATCCGACTACGGTAATGTCATGGATTGTATTGATACATCAACGGGGACTGTGAAACTCGAGCATACGCAAGCATTCCTCACGCGCTTTGGAGTGGCTTACAATGAAGAGATCTCGATTATCAACCGAGCGTTTCCGCCCAGTCTAGACGTTGTTACCCCGTTTCTCGAAAAGGTCGGCAGCGATGTTTTATCTCCGTTCTTGACCGCACTATTTGATGAACTACACCGAGTGAATATTGAGTCATATTTGAAGGCGGTCTCTGGAACGTTTGTGCAATGCTTTAACCTCATGAAAGATCTGCGACCTAGTCAGAGTGACAATGAAGGCTTACACGAGGCTGTGATACCTGTCCTTCGTCAAATTTACGAACCTCATATCGACCTCTATCTAGCGGAGGAGCTGGACTTCTTCCGACAAGGTTGTGACACCGCAGTCCGGGACTGGGACAGACAACTCTCCGAACAGGCCGCATCGACAGAATCTCTTCTGATGTCCAACGTCAATCGACAAGCAGACAAGAAAGACTTCCTTTCTTCTTTCAAGAAAGTGGTTATGATGCCAGTGAACATTCTTCCTACGTTCTCCAGCAAACCCAGCGGCCAGAAAGCGGAGGAGGAGCCCAAGGGCGGCCCCCCTCCCTCTAAAAAGTGTGTCTCGATTCTCTACCGTTTCACCTGCCCCAGTTTCATTGCCAGAGGCTCCAACGGATGAGCTTGCTGCAAAAGCTGCCATCATGAACATGAAATTGGAGGGTATCCGCTCGCTTTTTAGCATCGAGGTTGCCTTGAGTTTGGTCCATGCTGCCAAAGCCAGCCTTGAACGTGCTGCACAGTTTGTGAAGCTTGGTGGTGAATACGGGGATGCTGCCAAGCAGCAATGCAAAGGCATATTTGTGTCTCTTCTCCACATCCTGGGCCATCGTCACGTTATCGAAGGGTTTGACAAGGCGGTGGACCATCTGTCCAACTACCGACCTCGAGAGCAAGGCGAGCGTGACGAGTCCAATGTCAAACCCTTAGTGACCTTTCTTGAGCTGGTTAACGTGGGAGATCTCATCCTCCAGATGATGGACGTGTTCTACGAACAGGAACTTGTCGGTACGAAGTTGACGGACCGGAACGACTTTCTTGACCCGGCTGTCAAAGCGAAGAAGAAATTCGAACAGATGCTGGACGAACGGGTGGCGTCTGGACTGAACAAGGGAATTGATGTGCTCATGGAGGAGGTGGACTACCTCCTGGCCACGAAACAGTTGAGCACCGACTTTAACCCAGAGGCCTCGATGAATCCACAGCGGCAGACAATGGATGTTGGTGTCAGCGAGGCTGCTCTTGCGGTGGTTGACGTTGTCTCGTCGCATACCCAGATGCTGGTGGGGAGCACAGACAAGAGCACGCTCGATGTGTTCAACCAGGAAGTTGGGCTACGGCTCTTCGCGGCGATTTGCAAACATCTCAAGCGCCAGCGGGTTAGTGTGGAAGGGTCTCTGAAACTGATCAGGTAAGCCTAAAGACCCGTTTTGTTCAACGTCGAGATTACTGACGTCAAGATCAGCGATATGAACCATTATTTCAAATTCATCCAGACGTTCAAGAACAACGAACTTCTTCTCTATTTCAAGGCTCTTCGAGAGCTGTCCCAGATCTATCTCGTGGATCCATCCGACGCCAAGGAGCTAGCTACCATAATTGCCGATGCGGATCGGTTCTACGGCATCTTCCGGGCGGAAGAGGTTTACGAATTCGCTGAACGGCGGGCCGACTGGTTCCAAGTGCGACGGGATGTCGAGCGAGCCATGTATGGTGTTGGATGCAGCGTGATGTAGGCGCAAGCCCGCATTTTGGAGATTCGAATTTCTATATATATATGCCTTGATGATATGACACAGTATATATATAACGTACTTGCTACGAGTTGGTGAGTTTCCATCCGGTGCATAGCGACAGTGACGCCGAGTTAGATCTCTACCCCTCATGATTTTTTTGTTGTCTTATAAACTATATAGTTTATGAGTGATGACAGGATAGTATACCCTACTGGAATGACATTACCTGTATATACGAGGTGAATGGCTCGATTTTAATTTATGAAGGGAAGTGAGTCCAGTTTGACGCATGTGTTAATTAAAGAGGTCTCTCCTGTGGTAGCCAATCGCCAGTCATGTCCACTAGATGATTAACCTCAGCACGTACTGAAACACTAGAATGAGTCCTGGAAAAAGTCACAACCAACCAACCATGTGAGAACACCATCAGTTTAGTGTGGAAATTGCGATAATCCTGACAAATATTCCAGTGATTCATCGATGACTCTTCTATGGTATGCTGCTATTTTTGGCACCGATACAGTAAGTAGGTACCTGATCTGATCAGATGGGGTCTGAGAACATATATATATTATTTTACGGGTTGTACTCAGACTTTGTTTTTATTCTTTAGATGACTGTTTTTCATAACTACTGCAAGTGTCGGATCCAGGAATGGAACCCGTTTCTATGATGTCCGTTCTATGACCCTACTAATTTATATGCATGAACGGCTAACCATCATTATTCATTACTCATCACCGACAACCTACCTAATCTCATGACATCTCACCATGTTGTATACACACATGACCTTCACAAGAGATTCATTCTGGAAGGCTCAAATCTATTTATCTACACTTTTTTACCGTTCTATCTTATGATGATCCTAGATGTGGGGAGTAATCTCATATTCCCTTTTTTCTCTATTTACCATCCAGCATCTTTATATTTGTGTGCCGCTCATCTGCGGACAGCAAGCACAAGCAATAACCACTACTACCACTGTTCAAGCCGCGGCACAGTGCTCAACATTTTTGTCTTCATCATATACTTCACCATCCGAATTTCGAAACGAAGTACTCGACAGCACCAACTACTATCGCCACCTAGACAATGCCGAAGTGAGTAGATTGGATTTGGCATGACTATGCTCTTGGAAGGCTTCTTTCTAGTTGCTTAACCATAGTGCTCGTTTTAGAATGGTCTATACAAGATCGAGCTAAACTGCTCCCAAGGTATCACGACTGGAGACTTAGGCATAAGCCCGCGCTTGCTAGTATAGGGACCCTAGGTGTATAGTTTTCTACCAGATTAATTATTCTTTCTTCCCGATTGTTGGTTCTTAATTGTGAAGAAACCCACCTCTAGATGGTTTTCTAGACTTTACTACCCTAACAGGTCACTTATTAAGTGGAAGTGTCTGTACTTCGTCAAGCACTTCGGGGAAATATTGGCCAACGTCTTGGGTTGGGGAATAAGTCTAGTACTTTTTTTTTAAAGTGAAATGAAAAGTTACCCAGCTTATTATCTCATTGTAAGAATTTTGGCCAAAGAAATACTGAAAAAAACATACTTTCTTTAATAATCCATCTTACAGGGTTCCGACTTGCAGAATGAGGCTCCGACCTAGCCTCGTTCGACCTAACAGGTATTTTATTAAGACATCATCTCCTCTTCAGTTTCGGTATTACTACTTAGGTAGATGTCTTAACTGCCACACCCAAAGCTTATTTTCGAATCGTCCTGACGAATTATAATACAACTCAGCCGGTCCTAGCATGCCTGTGCCACCCAGATTTGTTCTTGTCATGCAAACCGGTGCACTGTAGACGAATTAGCCCGGAGCTTACGGCTTAGCAGCCTTGTTCAGCGCATGCAGATATATTGAAAGGGGAAGAGAATTTATTTGGATTGGCCCGTGGAACCCATAGTTTGGTGAGGGGGGACCAGGGGGGAAGAGGGAGAGAGGGGGGCTGAGTGAGATGAATCCTTTCAGCAAAGCCTCAGCCTTATACAGTCATTTCAACAACCCATTGCAACAAACCTGTCCAGTATATATAACCGGGGCGCAAGGAACCAACAAAATGCCTGTTGTATACCCCTCATCTGGCTGTGGCCAAACTGGTCAGTGGAGTTTTAGCGCAACACCCTCTTGCACACATCAATTGTGTTATCTTTGGAACTTGGATCGTTTATTGCTCTTGTCATTATCATGTCTGAACCGCTGGCAAAGACTGCCTCCAAGTCATCGGACAAAGACGTGTCCGCTGTCCCTAACCTGAAACGAAAAGACGGCAATGACCCGGACGATGAAGATAGGCGAGAGGTAGTGATGAATAGTACCCAGTGTTTGATCCAAGCGCATCTGTTTGGAATCCACTGATCATGATAACAGCCTTTGGACTCGTCTTTTCAGCATTTTGAAAAGTCGAACATGGTTCGGGGCGGGCAAATCGTGTATGGTGGTCAGAGATTTGGTAGGTGGGAATCTTTCCTTAGCTCCTTCCTGCTTGCTGCCATCGATGGTCATCTCTATCTTATTGACAACTACTGCACAGAGCATAACATCTACAGTAAGTGGCATCAGGTCCACTGGCTACATTGTGTCACAGTCGTATACGACCCTATTGACGCTTCTAATACGGTGATATAGTTCAACAGAGTTCGTTGTCCACAGAAGAAACGCTGGAAGTATGACAGTTGTTTGGAGAAGTCACTGATCGTTGCACAGGTGTCGAAGATAGCCTGTCAATAGACGCGGACATTCCCGACTTTGCCAACAATGTCACCAATTTCTTTAACCTAGTTAGCAACGTTCACTATCGTTGGAAAAAGGCTTGCGGTGGCACCCAGGTTACCAAGCAGCTGGCTGCGCTGAAAACGCTCCTTTCCCGGGTTGAAGCGGAGGCGAGGTCGCCGCAATCACTTTTTGCGCGCAACCCAAAACATCTTGAGTGGTGGAATAACTTTTCGAAAGAGTGTCACGATACGATTGCGAATTTGGAAAAGGTTCTAGAGAAGCACAAGGACCTGGGCAGGAATCCTAAACGGAACTGGGAGCGGATACAACGGAAAGAAGAGAATGTGTCCGACCTTCTCCAGATCCTGAAGAGGAAGAGGTCGGAGTTGAAGGACCAGCTTGTGTTGCTCGGGATAAATTCCCAAGGGCGTGTGGAGCACGAAACCCTGCCTAACATTTTCAAGAAAATAGTCGAGATTACCAGGATTTTAATTCCTCATCTAGCGGGCACTAATCGTTCGATTATGGATACACTTCATCTCAGTATACAAATCGATATCGGGGTTACCGTACGAATCAGCCCTTCGACTCATCTAACTCCTCACCCAGGTATTCTCATCCGGATCATCCACAAGCCTCTACCAGGGAGCGAACTCGCCCTTCTGACAATACCGAATTCAACCGTGAAAACACAAACTCGACTGGGTGTTCAACATGTTCATCTCCGTCGCCTGGATTCACTCAGCGTGACAAGTCCGGCAAGGAACGCAGACTCATCACCTGGGAGAAGCTGCCTGAATCGGAACTGCATCCACTGAATGAAAAACAAAAACTGCCTGAAGGCTGGGACTGGAGAATCGACGAGAATAATCGACTGTTTTACGTGGACACGTACGCTCGGGGGAGGAGAAGCGGTGTTTCTGGAAACCGCCCCAGAAAGAAAAAGACATCGAGCATATACTACCTCCTGGCTGGGACAGGCACTGTACAATATTTGGGCGGATCTTTTGGAAACATCGAGCGTCAAAAATAGTGTCCTACAAGCATCCGGCCCTTTGTAGACAATTCATGCACAAACGTGGAGAACTATTCCTTCTTCGACAGAATGAAGGAGGAAGAAGAGTGTTCACGAAATGGACTCCCGCCGACTCAACAGAGTATAGGATCGATGATGAAGAGGTGGCCTGCCAGATAGAGAGCTCTGTCTGGAAAGATGGATTATCAGACGAAGCTGTCAAAGTTCGTGGAGAGCTGTGGTGGGGGAATTTCTCTTTGCAAGAACGACGTTTGAGGCTGACACCGCGTTCTCGTCATTCAAGTGAGCCGATTTTCCGCGACTGAGCTTTGGGGTCGCAGTTATTCTGCTTCCATGACATAAAGTCTGAGACCAGAATACAATACACATCGTCTATTTTACTAAACTGTGGATTTTGCCTCAGAAAGATATTATAGATGTTGTCTTCAGGGTCAGTCTAAAGCCCAAGTAGGGAGATTACATCGCCACTTGAGTATCCCAGATATCTCCTTGCGATGTTTATCGATTTAGTCCGTCACTTACTCGATTATCGCAGTTGCATTTACCCTAGGTCAAGTCAGCACTGTCGTGAACAGAAATACACATATTTCAACATACCAAATCTCATACCACCATAGACAACTTGATTACCTCCGTACACCAGATTGGACCGTATAATCTTGGTGTACCGACCAAGGTCTCTGTTCTCACCATCGCCATTCCGAGATACTCCTTGCTCGCGTATGACGATGCGTTCTGCAGCCACGGGTCCTGGAGCTAACTCCTTAATCCATCTCCGAAGCTCGCCTACGATGCTCACAAAGCCCGGGTCATCCTCGGTCTCGAATCTAGTCATATCCATATGGTTACTGTGGATTCCAATGGAGGTGTACCCGGGAAGAGTGGCAGCGCGCTTCGGAACAATCTGAACAGTGCATAAGCAGTCAGCATGCGTTGCGGACACAGGGTATGCTTGTTATCTTTCACCTCGTCCATGCCCGGTAGAGGCAGCTCTTCGTAAAAACAGGTAATGGCGATGGGATGTGCTCCATCGTTGACCCGTGCTCTCAGCATAGAATGGAAGTCGATCTGGATCCGTTCCAGCACTTCAGAATCGGCCCGAAGCACCTGGATAATCTGCGAATTGGTCTGTTTGATCAGCCCGATCAATTTGGCCAAACCTTCGGCCCACTGTGCAAAGCCAGAACCGGAATGCGGCGTGCCGAGAAAGATGATACCGTGGGTGCGGCGAAGGATCTGCTGAAGGTGTCTTTCAGGACTTCCTCGCGACGACAAGAGAGCCTATCGCCGGGCGAGTCAGCAGGTATTATATCCCGGCAAGTTGGAGGATTCATTTGCTGAGCGAACATCCTCACACACAAGGCCACCCATACTATGCGCGACGAATATGATGGGGCGATCATTCTGCAGACTGGTCAGGAATGTTCTTTTCTTTCGCTATGCCTTGAGATTGAGAGATCATTATGGTGTCATCCTCCTCTCGGCACGTCGCTATGGCAGCCAGCAAGTTCCGAGAGTGGTCACCAATCCTGTTCTTCGAGACCAAAGCCCTCCAGTCGACGATACGGGCGTCATAGCCAAAAGTGAGTATTCGAGCCTGAGGGAGCTTTTGTGGTAGAAGCGACTGGGGCCATGGCGTGAGGGCGTTTCGCGCTGTCCAGGTCCTCATCCGATCACCGGTCAGACCATGGATGAAGATAATGCTGGGCACAAGCCTCGCATTAGTAATATGCAACACTGGTGAATATCTGACGAAGTGACTTACTCAACAACAGCATTGTCGGGCTCGTAGAGTTTTTTGAGGCCGTAAGAAGAATTGCGCCGAGTAGGGCTTGGATCGTGGAACTCCCCTTCGTTGCCGTTTGTCCTTCTTTTCCGCGGGAGTAGCTGTCGTAACATCTTTGTATTTCCTTATATAAGACAGCACGCTCATATGCTAAATGGAAAAAAGGGAGCCGGGAGGTAATATCTTGCAACTAACCTAAGGGTCAGCATTGTTCTGTCTTCAGGCCTTTTTAGAACTGCCACGTTGACACCCCTCATCCGGATCAAGCTGGGCCGATATCACTAATAGTCCCTGCAATGGTGTGCTGACTTACGTGGTATATCCTTGTTGGTACAATGCAAGGCTGGGGGAGGCTGATGGTTATGGAGAGTTAGCCTGAACAAGGCTGCTCTTGCAACATGTGATCACAACAGCCTGGCAAGAAGATTGCATCTTGTGCATCCCCCACATGGGCTTTCATTTCGAATGACACAGGCTCTTTCAGCACCTTTTGAATCGTTCCAGACCAACTGCATCATGATGATCTGATTCATCACGGAAATTCCCAGTGAGGGCTGCAAAGAATGCAAACCCTACATCTCCCCCCGAACCGTCAACTACTTCAACCACGACAGTCGCCGCAGCCCACACGAGCACAGACCCAAAGGGAAAACCTGTCAAAGACGGTAGTATCAGCGGGGCCAAGAAGGATGCTGAGCAGGAATATTCTTTTATTCTCCCCATTTTTATCTCATATCGGCTCCTTATATCAGTCTTCTGCTAATATGGCACTGGCACAGCAGGAGCAAGACGCATGGGATCCTTTGAAACAGAATCCTGTTCGCCTTCCTAGCTAGGAGATGGCTGGCTGGCTAGCTTCGCCCCTGTATACGATGGTAGTAGGACTGACTATCGTGCAGTCTAGCACAGTGTCTCGGCATCAACAATTCGAAAAATCGAACTATGTGGAAGGCAAGCAGACGATCTATGGAGGAATGACGTTTCGTACGTGAAACTCATTATTAGTCTTCGTCGATTTCGGTCCAGACGTTTCTCATACATACGTTCAGAATGAGGACTCTCGGAATTCGGGATTACACTGATCCAGCAGCACCTATTATTAGCTTCGGGCGTTCTCCCAGCAGGAAAGGAAACAAGGCGGTAATCCAGATAGTCTGGAACAAACTACCTAATCAGTGTGCTTGCTGCGAAAGATGAATTGTATCAGTGCTTCGAATTCTCTACATGTCCATATGTATCTGGTAGAGATACTAAATAAACAGTCTCAGTGCGAATGGGATGATCTCAGCCGTATATGTACACAAGGTTGATGTGTATACCTCTACTAGACTTCTCAACGCTCGTCAAAGATTCACTTTAGACATAGGACCGGGAAAGATTTTTTTTTTAAAAAAAAAAGGCCAAGATAACTGCGTTGCGTTGCTCGGTTTTCACTCATCTATTCAGTTTAGGGTGTAATCTCGGTGTAACTCATGTATATTCCCAAGTCTATCTACTAGGACCACTCCAGTGTATAACAGATCTTTAACTTTTAAACGTCTCATGAGAGAAACATAATCAGAAATCGTCGGCTGCTTTTTCAGGGTATCATCGACATAATCTATACGCAATATCTCGACCCTGTTGGCGAGATCAATGCCGCCATATCTTCACCGCTTTGTCTCTGCCTCCACTGCCGACTCTTTCGCCGTCTGGGCTCCAGTCCACGGCGTAGACTTCGTCCTGGTGCCCTGGAAGATCCATGGCCAGCTTCCCCGTACGGACATCCCAGACTTTAAGAGTTGTGTCTTTGGAGGATGAGACCAAAAGACGAGAATCAGCCGAGAAGCAGCACTGATAAACGGCGCCGACGTGACCCCGCAGTGTTGTGATGAACCTGTTCCTCATCAGTAATCTGAAGATGGCATGTATCAGGTGCAAAACAGAACTTACTTCCCATCGCGGGCGTTCCATAATTTGACATGGGTGTCGAACCCCGCAGAGGCAATGTACGCCATGTCAGGAGAAAACGTGACGTGGTTCACTTCTTTCTGGTGACCCAGTAACCGAGCAATCGGCTTCGACGAGCTCTCCGGATCCCAGAGATACATGGTATAATCGTCACTTGCCGACACAAGCTTCTCTGTAATTCTGTTATTGATTGTGGCAGCTTTCTCGAATCGCTGCTTCGCCTTCTCGACCCTTTCCGCCTCTGTCTCTGGAACTTTCTTCGTGTGGTCGTAGAACGCAGTACGGAGGACAAAGTCAGTGGAGAGAGCCAGGTGGTTTACGCGGTGGGCATGCGCAGCCAACGTCTGAATGAGACTGCCATCTTTCGAACTCCACACTTTGATCGTCTTGTCATGGGAGGAAGTATATATCTTTCCTGTCCCGCCCCAGCGAACACAGGTCACTGAACCCTTGTGTCCCGTGAGGACAATATCAATCCTCTTGTTGACAACATCCCAGACGCGGACCGTCGTGTCCTTCGACGCGGAGGCCAAACGAGGCCTGCCAGACTCTTGCAGGTGATAAGGCTCCCACGCCAGACTGTTGATCCACTTAGTATGGCCCTTGAGTGGGCCTCCTAGAGGCGAGCCTTTCTTTGCATCCCACAGTCTCACCGTATTGTCCATACTCCCTGTTGCAATTATGGCGCCATTGGGAGAATAACTGACCGCCAGGACCCAGTTCGTATGACCCTTTAGTGTATGTAAAGGCGTGCCAGTTTCGCAATCCCAAATTCTAGCGGTTGAGTCACCGCTTCCAGTAACCATTGTAGCCGAGGACACGGGCGAGAACGCGGCAGCAAGGATTGCTTCTCCATGGCCGGATATTGAGGCAGAACATCGTGATACCGCCTTGACTCGAAATACTGCTTGCGGGGTGTAGTGGAGGTGGACTGTATCTTCGGTGGTTTTGATACCCGGCTTCAACAACGAATGATATAAATCCGACAAAATGTCGACAACCTGCCCATCTTCGCCTTCTGACTGATATGTGAATCTATATGGCACCCGCTCATGTTCGTCCTGCCGTGTCACAGAGGATTAGTCTCAGGTCTGGGCAGATTTGACGAAATCTTGCCGGAACAAAACATGCGTACCTACATTACCCTGGAGTGTATTCAGAAGTGTCTCAAGGTTCTTAACATTGGCATCAGCAACAGGAACAGACACTGCAGGCCCAGTCGGCGTGCCAGTGGCCTGGTCGACAAACTGGACTCGGATGCTACCCAGGTCGCTGGGGATGGTCTCGATTTCCTGTTGCTGTCGTGCCTTCTCCGCAATTTCGCGCTTTTGGCGCTTGCTCGGAGGAGGTACGAGAGTCGCCATTTTCAGGCGAGTTGAGCAGACGAAGTAATCGTAGCGAAGGAATTCGACGTTGGGGATTTTGTATGTCGGATTGTAGAAATTTTGGAGCGCCGCCCTAAACCGCTTCGGGAAATCTTATCTTATCGCCCGCGCGACTCCTTCCTTTTCGAGAACCATAACCTGCCTTCCCACTTCAGTTGTCTTGCGTCTTGCTGAAGACAATGAATTACGCCGAATGATGCCGAATTTGATTCGATTATCTGATAATAAGACCGCTGTGTGAAATCAAGATGTCCTCAGCTTATACAATAGGAACGTCCTACCCATTGGAAGACGAGACAACCACCTCCGTACGCATTGCAGACCATGCTAGTGAACGGCCATGGACAGCAAGACCAACCACAACCGCCACGAGCATTGCATCGCAGGAAGTGATATGCGCCGTCAGTGAATCCAGAGGTGTATCACCTACAGTGGGCCTTGCGTTTGTCAATCTTTCCACTTCAGAAGCAGTACTCTGTCAGATCTGTGACAGCCAATCTTATGTGAAGACCATCAACAAGATCGGGGTGTTTGAACCCAGTGAGCTCATCTTCATGAATACTGCCACTCAGTCAAAGCTTTACTGTATTGTCCAAGAGAATTTTCCAGCACTCACAATCACCTGCATTGATCGCAGGTATTGGTCTGACAGAGCTGCCCATGATTATGTGGAAATGCTTGCTTTCCCCGAAGAAATCGAGTCCATCCGGGTCTCCATGGAGGGTCACTACTTTGCCGCATGCTGTCTGGCTGCGGTAAGTCCACTCAAGCCTGTTTATTAATGTCTGAACTCATTTTCCGCAAGGTCCTGAAATACGTAGAGCTCCAGCTCTGCAAGTCATTTGCTTTCCATTCTCTTCGTATCAAATTTGAACCGTCTCAAGGTTCAATGATGATTGATCTCTCCACTATCGTTTCTTTAGAATTGATACAGAATCTTCAAAAGAGCAAGTCTCGGGACTGTCTCTTCGGACTACTCAACGAGACCCTCACACCAATGGGTTCCAGATTGCTGCGGAGTAACATTCTTCAGCCCTCTACAGAGCCGGAAAAGATTGTAGCGCGATACGATGCTCTTGAAGAGTTGAGCTCCAAGGAAGAAATGTTTTATTCTGTCAGGCAAGGTAAGATATGCAATCGACTCTGCAGTGGCGACTAATGTCTGGTCTGTGTCAGCTCTCAAAGGGTTTGTCGATTCGGACAAGGTTCTTACTTCTGTCAGTGGCCTTGCATAGCTCAAAGTGCATTGCATCCGTACTGACAAGAAAGCTTATCCTCAACCCTGTGAAATCCACATTTCACCATGTGGAGCAGTCGGTCAACCATGTCATTATGCTCAAATCATACGTGATGTCCATCAACCCAGTCTATGAAGCACTGGCCGGAGCGCAGAGTGCACTCCTGAAGAAGATAAGAGATGTTAGTTCTTCCGGAAGAAGTAAATAGGATGAAGATTTCTAAATTGTCTAGCTGTGTGCACCAGCTGGTTACCAGTCGATTCGAGACATGATTGACGGCACTCTGAATGAAGACGTAACATATCAGAGCAAACCACTTGACTTGAGAAATCAGCGTACCTACGCCATTAAAGCATGTTTCAACTGGATTCACTACCTTTAAAAATAGCTGACTTGCTGTAGGCCGGTGTGAACAGCCTTCTCGATGTTGCGAGACAGACGTATAAAGAGGCCAATGCGGATGCCACAGAGCTGGTCACAAGACTCGCAGGTCGGTCGCATGTCTGTCTGGCTAGGTTTTTCCTGACTCTGTATAGAAGTATATGACCTCTCGCTGGATCTGAAGTTCGACAGTGCGCGACAATACTACATATCTCTCTCCGTATTCGGGTTGGATGAGGGGCCTCTCCCTGATATTTTCATTAACTGCTATAGAAAGAGGGACCGCATCGAGTGCCAAACTTTGGATCTCGTCAAACTGAACCAGAGAATCACTGACGCCCACAATGAAGTGATTAATATGAGCGATCGGAGCATTCAGGAGTTGATCAGCGAAATATGCGCGGATATCTCTGGGCTTTTCAGAATCAGTGAAGCCATCGCCACCTTAGACATGTTGGCGGCTTTTGCACAGCTTGTGACGACACAGGAATATGTTCGGCCAGAATTGACCGATGTCTTGGCCATCAAGTCTGGTCGTCATCCGATTCAGGAGAAAATCCATCGAGGCAAGTTTGTACCGAACGACACCTATGCGGCACAGCAGTCGCGGTTTCAGATCATCACCGGGTGCAATATGAGCGGAAAGTCCACGTATATCCGTTCCATCGCGCTCATGACAATTATGGCACACATCGGATGCTTTGTCCCGGCGGATTATGCGTCGTTTCCTATTGTGCGTCAACTATTTGCTCGAGCAGCTGCTGTGGATGAAATTCACGCCAACGTGTCGACGTTCGCAGCTGAAATGCGCGAAATGTCATTCATCCTTCGCAACATCGACCCTCAAAGCATGGTTGTCGTAGACGAACTATGCTGTGGAACGAGTACTACAGATGGGTTGGCAATTTCGATTGCTATTGCAGAAGCTTTTGTCGATAGCCACGCACTCGTATGGTTTGCAACCCACTTTCGCGATCTCGCTCGCATTATGGCTGAGCGTAGCGGAGTCGTCAACCTTCATTTGGCGGTGCAATTATCCCCCCAGGCGGATAAAATGACCATGCTGTACAAAGTTCAAGAGGGTCATGTGCAGGAGAAGTTCTACGGGCTTGCTCTGGCAAAGGTGCTCTCATTTCCACAAGAGGTCTTGGAGACCGCGCAGATGGTCTCCACAAGACTTAACGAGATTGCTGAACGCCACGCAGCCGGATCAAAAACCCTATCGATTGCCAGAAGACGGCGACTGATCCTGCATCTGAGAGAGCGGCTTTTGCAAGCGGTAAATGGGACGATGGAGGGAGAGACGTTGCGAAGATGGTTGGAGAGACTGCAGGAGGAATTTGCATTGAAAATGGCCGCAATCGATGCCGAATCGGATGCATTCACAGGCGATGCTTGTGACAACGGGACGGTTAAGACTGACGATGGACAAGACTCCTTCCAGGCAGTTGAGGATCTGGAGTATGATAACAAGGAGATCGCATCTACTGGATGATCACCATGACCAAAGTCTTCGACCTCTCAACCTGTAATTCTGAAACAACTAACAACTTCGCATTCGAGAAAGGAAAGGAAGATTGAAAAGGGGAGGGTCATCTGAGAAGTAAAGCTGTATTAGTTATTATTGTTCATGTAGTTACTTACTTATATGGTCAAGCTCTAGGATGAATTCGTCAAATAGACCTGCACAAATAGAATACATAGGTAGAGTGTGTGAACCAATGAATTAATGAGAATAATTTGGTACCATATTTATGACTATTATTTGTCCTACCTAGATGGCATGAATCTTGTTGGATGGACATAAGATATTGCTTCGAATATCCATTGGGAATTGGACAATTAGGTTATCTTTTTTATTTTTCTCGCTTTTCTCCTCAATCCAATTGTTACACTATGGCTATTGTTATGGCTATGGCTATGCGACGCTATGCTATCCTATCCTATGCTATGCTATGCTATGTTGTTCTGACTCTATACTGAAATACCAAAACAATACCAAAAAAAAAAGGGGAAGCTACAAGTATTAAAAATATCGACATGAAGAAAAAATAGAGAGAGGCTCATTCGAGCAACCGTCGCGCTTTGTTTTATTTTGGTCAACAGCCTGATTGATTGATTATCCAAAGTGGAACAGGGTTTGCTTCCCTTTCTTGCCCTTGCCTTTCTTCCCCGTCGTGGACACGGGTCCCAGGTCGTCGGTTTCTGCATCGTTCGCTGCACTGGCAGACGCTGCTGCTGCGGATGACGAGGCGGTACCGGTTGCCCAGGCATTCGTAGTTGGTGCATGCTCGTTCCAGCGGACGGTGCCGCGAGTCACGCCGGCCATTAACGTGTTGGGCTTGGGAGCCGCAGGGAGGGCAGGGAAGGCTTCCGTATCATCTGCGCTCGGGGCGCTGGTCCGTGGAGCAGAGCGAGAAGATGTAGTAGTAGAGGTGCTGGATGTCACGCCGGGACGAGACGCAGGAGTACCAGTGCCCCATACAGGTGCGGATGTCGTCGTTCTGGAAGCGGAAGAAGAAGAAGCAGAGGATAGAGGCGGGAATGGGTTCCCAGACGACAAGCTCCCAGGAAGAGCACCGCTCCGGCCCACGGCAGACCGCGACGATTGAGCGGTCGAGGACTTTAACCGCAGAACACGGTTCCCTCCTGCGCCCGCGGTGTTGGACGACAGCCCCGGAAGCACGCCACTGGGACCTGGCAAAGCCGGGTAATCTTCGTTGATCGCCCGCCAGTCATTCCAGGCTTTGAGGAGGCCGTTCTTCTTAAACTCGTCCTCGTAGAGTTCGGCGAGTTCCTTGATCAGTTTTCCCAACTCGGAGCTGGGCGCGTCGAACAATGAGAAGAAAGCGTCAATGAGATCGGTTGCAGAGATGGCGGAGGTGCGGTAGTTCGACACCTTGGTGCGAAATTCCGAGAGTTTCAGTTGATCGTTTTTGAGGAGATTGGACGCCCGTTCTATGACGGCAGCGTGGCGAAGGCGGCGCGCTTGCTCCTGCGGTGTGAGAGGGCCTGAATAGGTGCTGATGTTGAGGTTCTCCATCTCAGAGACCGGTGGACTGCGAGCAGCAGCAGCAGCAGCCTGGGCCGGGGTTGGATCAGCCGCGCGAGGGCTTCGGGCGCTTTGAGTGGTGCTAGTAGTAGTTAGCTGGCCTCCGAAAGTTCGCGTGGTGACTGATTGTGCGCTCTGGATAGCCATCTGCCTTTGATACGCTATTTCGTCCCGTCTCAGGGGCTGGGCACTAGAAATCGGAAGTGGCTCTGCATTGGGATCTCGCCCTCTTCCTGCACCGCGACGCTGCCTCTGCGGCTGATAGGGTGTCCGGTAATCAAAGGTGGACATATCCACCGTTCGAGCGTCTCTCCTGGCATCTTTAGAGAGCCCATGAGGATGGACCTCCAGTTGATGCGCTTGGAGATCCATCTGGGTCTCAAACACCACGAATTTCTTCTCCAGACATTCCTTGTCTGGACACAAGTAGTGATCCCTCTGGAAGTGATCTTCAAGGGCGTCATAATCGATAAAGTACTGCTGCTGACGATTGCCGGACCGGCGGTCGCAGATATGGCATCGTTCATGCCTGTCTCTGCAGTGGGCATAGAGCTCATCATCTCCATAGAATCGTATTCGACAGAACCCGCACTCTGGATGGCCTCTGAAACCGCTTTGGTCAGCAGCACCGGGATTGTCGTCCCCATACTTCTCATGTTTTCGCAGCTGGGACGTAGTAAATAGCTCGTGCTCGTGTGTGAAGACTTTCTTGTGCCGAGTACACAGATCGCTGTTCTCCAACGTAAGCAATCATTGCCGTCCTGAGACAGACTTCCATCGAGACAGATACTGTACTCACCACATAACCTTCCCATGTTTGCTCTTGACATGCCGGTGCAGATCTGGCCACCCTAAACAAGCCACATCGCAGTCCCGATCCGGACAGTTGTATCGGAGCAGGATGACGGTGTCTTCGAAGATCTCTTCCCGCTCGTACTTGATTCCCAGATTATCGTCCGTCCGGGCTATCTCCGCCTCTGTGAACTGTTCGTACCGCTTTGCAGGGTCGTCGGTGAATATTACGAAACTGGACTCGGTCTTAAGTGACACCGTGTTAGCCAATGTCCAGCAACAGGTGAGTTTGAACTTGGACATACCCGACAGTGCGCACACGCCTTCGTCTTGTAGAGCGCTCTCAACCTCAGCGCGCAGATATGGCAAGTTCGATGGTTGCAAGGCGCGACGGACGTATGCTCGACTTTCGATGCGCAGATGAAGCAGATCTCTCCGTCGTCCGGCTCATCCGTCGCTGTCGCAACCAGCTGCTTGCCCTTCCCCTCGCTCTCTGTTCGTCTGGCATCTCCGGTCGAGCGATCACCGGAGGTGCCTGGCCCATCAGGGACACTGCCCGGTGGCTGCCCGCCTCCCCCAGATGCGGCATTGGAAGCCTGTGCTTTGGGCTTCTGGCTGCGATTCCGTTGTCTGTCGCGTCCCCCTCGACCTCCGCCACCTCCGCCCCGGCTTTTTGGGCCTCTAGGCTGGCTGTCGCTGGTGCCATCTTCTCTGCGATTCTCTGAGCGATCGGAATGATGAGACGCGCCTCGTCCTGCCCGTCGCCTGCCGCCACTGGAGTTTGAATTTCGCGGTCCCGCCGGCGGAGGTGCTGCTGGGCCCTGACCTTCACTCATCGCTGTAGGTACTCCAAGCAAGCGATCCTGGGGTCCTGTAGGATAGACAGATTGAGGATTAGGGAGAAGAAAAGGTCTCAAGAAACGGAGCCTGCGCCAATACTGCCCCAAACAGCGTTATGCGCCGGACGGTTGCGATCTGCGGAGGGACCCGCGGCTTCGCGGATTTTTTGTGGTGGAAAAGCTGGCGCCCGCAACCCGTTTAGGGAGCCCGCCGTGGCGGAGAGGCCAACTTGCGGCACCGGCTCGCTGCAACGACGCTCGCTGCCTACAGAGTATGCATTATCCTGTGGATGTTACCACTGCTCCTTATTGAGTCAGAATCATCAACGACTACAACAGTCGGTCAGCTGGCCGGTTGATTCTAGAATTGGTGCAGCAAGCCAATCACACTGGGCGGGCTCCTGCTATTAACATGATCTATTCTGCCGATCCGGAATCAGACGTACATACATTTTGAGATGCTTCGAATTAATAGAACGTCTGGAATAAGTACTCCTGAAATGTAACTACAAGAGATCTTATCATTTGCTAGGGAACAACCTCAGAAGCGCCCGTGAAAAGCCACCAACTCCCGCTTGAAAAAGAGAAACGCACAGATATGGGAGATCGCTAGGAACAAGATGCAACTTCGTAAAATAGAGAGCATAGATGGAAGGAATGAGCAGAACTGACGGTAATGGCAACGAGAACATGTGCACTATGCAGCAGATGCGACCGGGTGGTCTATTGGTTAGAAGAGTGTAGTCGCTCATCTTTGGGAAAGCGACGAAAATGTGTACACATCATTCAAAGTCTTCTGGCCGGTGAATCTGGGTAACTTCTCTTCGGATTTATTCATCGGGGGAATAGAGATTCTGGTTGAGGATTTTTGTCATGGTGAACATGTGCACACGATCCTGTTTGAAGACCGCGCGCATTCGTTCGTCGCATCGAATCTGGCGGCGGTCAGTCGGGTCCTGGAGCCCATTCTCCCGGATGTACTGCCACAGCCGCTTGACAGTCTGTGGACGAGAGAGCTGTTGCACATTAGCAGCAAACACTCAAGCGTAGGGTCATGTATGCTTACCGAGACTTCTCCGCCTAGAAGGTTGGAGAGAGCCGGCGATAGAGTCAGAGGTTTCTGCATCGCAATCAGCACTGAGAAAATATAATACTGGACAGTCTCGTTTAGACTCACATGGAAACCACCCGAGCGATTGACTTCCTTCTTTGCACCGGCCTCAGAGCCGGACTCCAGATCGGAGTCATCGACTTTCTTTGACGTCTTAGGCTTCGCCTTCTTCCTCACAGGCGCAGTCTTTCTCATAGTACTGCTCCTGGTCGGCCTCGCGCGCTTGTTCTCTTCCGCTTGAAGCTTGGCGGCGAAAAGAGCATCCGCATCAATGTCATGATCTGGCTTTCTTTTCTTTGAGGGAGGGGTATTGCTCCCATTCTCTTCAGGTTCGTCACTGTCCGCCTGACGCTTCTGCGGGGAAGACGACGGTTGAGGAGAGGGATCTGTGGTTTGACCGTCTGCCGCTCCGTCTTGGCCGTTGGCAGATGGCGCTGCTTGCTCCGACGGCGCTGATCCTAAACCCTTCTTCTGGGCAAAGAGGTCAAAGCGCTCCATGATGAGCTCTTTGATTGCAGCCTGTGACAGTCAGTGAAACTGGGAGGCGCAAAACAACGAGGTTGGAAGGAGTGCCAACCTTGTGCGGAGTGATATCATAGTCCACGGTTTCCTGGATACCTTTGCGAATGCGCTTTTCGGAGATAGTATTCAGGTCGCTGACAGCGAGGATCAAATCAATTTTCTTGATATAGGACTCGCGAACCTCCGGGGATACTACCGGAGCCAACACCTGTCACTATCATTGCCCGCATGTGAAGGGTAACCAGGCTGGACTTACGCGACATCTTGGCCAGCGATTGCACTAAAAGAATTGAAAACGCCGACTGCTCCCAACTATGAGAAGATGCTCACTTCTGAAATAGCCACTTGAGAGCACGGGAGAGCAGAGTATTGAGGAGTGTGGGAGGCCACCCCGGTGTTGGAGTCGCAAGGTATGGAGAGTACCGCCGGCGCTTAAGATCGGTGGGGCATGGAAGCTGGAGCTCGCAGAGTTGGGAGGAGAGAACAAAACACGGGATGAGTGCGGCACCAGAAGCTAGATATAGGCAATCCGAAAGGTCTCACAAGCAATACTTAAGCAGGCGGCCCAGCAGCAGCATGCGCAGGGCTGTGAAGACATTCAAAACACAAGATAGGGAACAATGAGCTTCGGCGGATTGGGAGCTCTCAGAAGTGACAGATGGATGAGTAAGCAGCCATCACTCGCATCTCGTGACCCCAGCCGTCAGGGGCGCCAGTCCCGATCGGGAAAGGCATCCGCCAGGCGGCGTGTCACGTGGCACTCCATGTCGGGGCGGTGTTTGCCTTGTTTGCCTCGCGGGTTCGGGTGCATGACTAAGCATCACACACAGAAACGGGATGCGATTAATCTTGCCCTAAGCAAAGCGTCAAGAGACAGGGACGAGGACCGGCCCTCTGCATCGTTCGCAGATCTTGCTTTGGCCAGAGTGTCCATCGCTCATCCGGTCAGTCTGCCCACCATGGCGCCCAGCTTTGACAATCTCTCCGAGCAGGACCTCCACGAACTGGAGGAGGAGGAGGAGATTGATTTCTCAGGTTTGTTTTCCTGGCGAAATTTTGTAAATTTTTACCCCTCACTCGCTGACGCGCCATCACCCCCGGGCAACAGATCTGAAAGCACAATATGAAGTCCGACTGGAGGAGGGTCTGGACACTTTCGTCGTTCTCGATGGACTGCCTATCGTCCCTGAAGAGAGCAGGGAAAAGCTCATCAAATATGTGCTCAAGAAACTCAACACGGTCGGACGGACGAGCGCAGATGCGTTCTTCATGCCGATGAACGAGAAGGGCATGTCGGAGGGGTAAGTGTTTGAAGATGTGCCAGAGGGCCTGATTGTGCAGCTGACGATGGAATTTCCCCCCCCCCCAGATTTGCGTTCGTCGAGTTCGAGACTCCCGAACAGGCCATGGCCGCCGTCAAACATCTCCATGGAACCCCTCTGGACAAGAAGCACACGCTGCTGGTGAACAAGTTGACAGATATCGACCGCTACGGCCGCGAAGGGCGCATCGATGAAGAGTACAAGCCCCCGCACATCGAGCCGTTCAAAGAGAAGGAGCACCTGCGGTGGTGGCTGGGCGACCCCAATGCGCGCGACCAGTTCGTCATTTTCCGGGGCGACAAGGTGGGTGTTTTCTGGAACATGAAGAAGGACCCGCCCGAGAATATCGTCGATCGGCCACACTGGACCCAGCTTTTCGTGCAGTGGTCGCCGCAGGGAACGTACCTGGCTTCGACTCACCCGCAGGGTGTGCAACTCTGGGGTGGGCCGACCTTTTCGAAACAGAAGCAGTTCCCGCACCCGTTTGTGCAGTTGATTGAGTTCTCGCCCGGAGAGAAGTATTTGACGACTTGGTCCGCGCGCCCTATCCAGGTGGAGGAAGGCCAACAAGGCCCGTTGACCTACGAAGAGGATGGCAAAAACATCATCATCTGGGATATCGAATCAGGAAAGCCTCTGCGGTCCTTCGTGGCCCATGAGCTCTCCGGTCCTGATGGCGATGCGGGCCACAAGAAGAAGGTGCAGTGGCCGGCGTTCAAGTGGTCTGCGGACGAGAAGTACGTGGCACGGATGCTTCCGCAGCAGTCGATTTCGATCTACGAGCTGCCACGGATGAACCTGCTCGACAAGACGTCGGTCAAGATCGAGGGCGTCATGGACTTTGAGTGGGCGCCGGCGACTCCCTCCCGGGAAGGCGTCAAGCACTACGAGCAGCTCCTGTGCTTCTGGACACCCGAAATGGGCAACAACCCGGCCAAGGTCGCGCTGATGAGCATACCGTCCAAGGAGATTGTACGGACGCGGAATCTGTTCAATGTGTCTGATGTGAAGCTGCACTGGCAGTCGCAGGCGGCGTACGTCTGTGTCAAGGTGGACCGTCACTCCAAGTCGAAGAAGTCGATGGCCACGAACCTGGAGATTTTCCGCGTCAAGGAAAAGGGCGTCCCCGTTGAGGTCGTCGACAGCTTGAAAGACACGGTGATCAACTTTGCCTGGGAGCCGAACGGCGACCGGTTCGTGCTCATCACTACGGGCGACGCTCCCACGGGGGCAGCAGGGCCACCCAAGACGGCCGTCTCGTTCTTCGCTCCGGAGAAGGTGAAGGGTTCAGGCGTGGGCAACTTCCGGCTGGTGCGCACGATTGAGAAGAAGACCAGCAACGCCATCTACTGGTCGCCCAAGGGGCGATTTGTGGTGGTGGCCACGGTGCACTCGCAGTCGAACTTTGACCTGGACTTCTGGGACCTGGACTTTGAGGGCGAGAAGCCGGAGTCGGAGAAGGAGCTGGCGGCGAACCTGCAGCTGATGAAGTCGATTGAGCACTACGGCGTGACGGATGTCGAGTGGGATCCGACGGGTCGGTATGTGGTCAGCAGTGCGAGTGTGTGGACGCATTCGGTAAGAACCCAAGTTCTGCATGCATTATATTTACAGAGAATTAATGTCTACAGATGGAAAACGGCTGGAATATCCACACGTTCGCGGGCCAGACTCTGGCAGAGCACCCGACGGACAAGTTCAAGCAGTTCCTGTGGCGCCCTCGGCCGCCGACGCTGTTGAGCAAGGAGGAGCAGAAGCAGATCCGCAAGAACCTGCGCGAGTACTCGAAGGAGTTCGAGGAGGAAGACAAGTACGCGGTGGACATTGCCAACACGGCAGTGGTGGAGAAGCGCAAGCGGGTGCTCAACGAGTGGCTGGCCTGGGTCCGCCGGGAGAAGGAGCTGCTGGCGGAGGAGAAGAAGGCGCTGGGACTGCCGGAGGAGGACGTGGCGGTGGACGTGATCAAGACGGCGCCGAAGGCGGAGGCGGAGGCGCCGGACACGGTGGTCGAGGAGATTGTGGAGGAGATTATCGAGGAGACGGAGGAGATTGTTGGCTAATAGCATTTATTCTGGTGATTAAAATGTTATGTATTTTCAGGTGCAGTGTGTTATATCTAAGGCTGTATGCCGGCATGGCATGAGACAGACGATGGATGATAGACGAGACGAGATGACTGACGCATGAATGCTATAGTCGAGAGGAATGGTACTGAAAGGGAAACAAGCAAACATAATTAGACTGAATATCCATGGACCTGACCTCGACGATTCAGTAACTAAGTCAGTACTCGAATCTTATCGTTCACATTGACTAATGTGAATCTGTTAGGCTAGATAGAAATATAAATACAGATTTACGCATGCTACAGTAGCAACTTTTGGAAGTCAGTCAGCTCGCAACAAAATAAATATAAATAACGACTGTCCAAAGGAAACAAAAAAAAAGGCTGACCGCCTGATCCAGTATCATATATATATGCAGTTACGACTGACATCTATATCTATCATCAATAAAAAGGATTTTCTTTGCCGTTTAAATATTTAAATAAAGTTTTGCTGTTTGCAACGACACCTGCTTGCACGATTCGAAAGTGTTATATATAACTCTGAGCCTCTTTATGGAATATAGATTTATTTATTTCTGGAAAGGTGCACAGTATGTACTTCTATACAAAAACAATCTATATATCTCCTTGCACTGCTTGTGTGTGCCATATAGTAGTACAATTGCTGCACGCCCTTAGCTAGTCACACACAGGATTATATATCTATATCTCGTACAGTAGTACATCCGCCTATGTAGACGGCTTTCTTTTCTTTTGCACTCTAAGATTATGCATATCCAAATTATTAACTCCTCATCTCAGGTTGATTTTATTTTATTTTTTTTATTTACACCTAGCTACATAGACACCTCAGGTAATTAAATACCAACAAAGGTTGTACTTACGGTACTTACTTTTATACCATCCTACGTCCAGGTCCAGGTCTAGGTCTAGGTCTACCTAGGTAGGTCAAAATACCGTATAAAAATCTGCGAGATGCTCTCTCTTGCCTGACTTGGACACGGCCGCTTTAAAGGTGTGAGCAGGGTGAGTCAGGAGAGCAGCTCATTCGGTCAACAGACTCATTTATATTTACCCCGTTCTCACCTATCTCCCTTAATTCTTGCACTAGCTATTTAGCGATATCAAACCCAGAAACTAGATAGAGGATAGATTGGAAAATAAAGGTAGTAGTTGGTTATCCCCTACAACCTCTAGGGGTTAAAAAAATTAATAGCTTCTTACAATCGATTTGGACTCCTCCTCTCGACTATCGGTCGTGAAGCTGAACCCCCTTCTGATTTGACTATGATATTGCTTCCATAATGCCGTTTTATTGGATAGTTAGGGGACGGAGGAATAAATAATGTGGAATAGCAGTATCCCTCTTTTCATCCCTTTTAAAAAGTTGTGCCGGACTCAATGCAGAGGTTATATACCTTAACTGAAATACAAGGAGGAGGAGCAGCAATGCGAGAGTATTCATTTGGTATACTCTGGGTGGAAAGCCTATAATAGGCCCCCATATCTCCCTTGTTAAAAAATAATAAAAGACAATCCCAAGCCAAATAGTAAGTTCCCTTGTACTGTAATTTAAGGGGGATTCAATATGGTTGTTGCAAGTAGCTAGCTGGCTCACTGACTCCGCTATATAGGTAGTTAGTACTAATCAGTTGGGATTTATTTATTCTGGACATTTGACAGGATCTTCCATCTTCGATAAACAAGACCGTACTGACTGATTCCTATAAAAGAGCTATTAATGATTAGTATTATTTAGGAACACTAATAATTATGAACAGCAATCTTTCCATGCTGCTAAAGAAGATCACTATGTAGGCCCAATTTTCTAGAAAAGCCTCAGTTCTTATATGCTATTTCTACAAGATGTCCATACTGGCCAAGGATTAGGGTAATAGTCTTAGCTAAGGATAGGGATAGGAGCATACCTCTAAGTGTGCGTTTGCCTAGCCAATGCAATATGGATGCAATATGGTTAAAGAGATTAGTACTATACAAGTTGCAAAATCGAATATCATATGATAATTCTTTTCTTTTCTTTCTTTCCTTTTTTTTTAGTAAGAAGAAGGAGGAGGAGGAGGAGGATGATTCAATTTTCTCTTCGTTTATGCCTTTAGATGGATAGGACAGGCTTCTTGAATTATAATAATTATGACCACTGAACATGGTGACAGCAAGTAGCCTGTACCTTGTTCAGGTGATAGTATCATCATATCTTATCTTTCTGAGTCCCTTCCCTTCTAATGAGAAATGGCCCTTCGCCGTACATATACTTGTAATTCTGACGCAACCCTTTTTGGTTTGTCTTTCCTACTCCGCACCTGAATACCTGATTTCCAGACTATCTGCTTCCTTCAGAGGGTACCTAGTCAGGCTTTCTGATAGAAATATTTGGTGACTTGTGTTAGTAGTGCTGTGTCTGTCGCGATTCTATTCACCCGCGGTCTCTAACACCATTATACAAAGTCTTACCAATATAAAACAGAATCAAGGGACCAAAACCAGACGTCAACTGAGAAAGTTGTCTTGATATCCAGCCCCACAAATGGGAATTCTTCGAAGTCTTGAAAAGCGCTTCGACGCTTGCAAGTGGTATCGCCTCTCGGACGCAATCCGGAACCTCGACAAAAGACGGACCTCGGATGACGAACGAGAAGCGGAAGCAATGGGAGTGGGTCGCTAAATCGCTCTTAACCCTAGACGACAGACACGAATGAAATCATACAGCGGGAGATCTATCTTCTCGAAGAGGTCGAGGCGGCACGAAAACGCAGAGAGGCGGACAGATTATTGGCTTTCTCATATCTTACTCCGAAAGAAGAGACGCAGCAGCAGCAGCAACTCCAGGCCTGGGAGAAAGAACTCAGCCAGATCAGTCAACGGTTGTTGTGGATCACCAAGCAACGGCTCTTCGCTCTCCATATTCTACGGACCGATGGACCTTGGATTCGAGAGTACTATTCTCTGCGCAAGCGAAAAACATTCGGCGAAGCCTTGCGTTATGAGTGTAAATTACGGGGCGGCTGCTGTGAACGGGATTGCGGATGCTGTAGTAAGCCACGCCAGGCATCATCTTCTTCTGGATGGCAGCGTAAGGAGGCGAAGACTCCTTCGCATTGTACGATCAACTGCGGCTGTTGTATTCGCAATCGGGGTTTTCACAAGCCTGATGCGAGCGTCATAAAGAATGATCTATCCCGCTTAGCAACGGAGCGAACGGCGGCAACTGTGAGGATCTGGGTGCTAAAAGAAGGAAAGAAACGGTAAGGAAACAAGGCAAACAATTGAAGAGAGGACATACTTAGAAATATATGCTATATGCCAGCATGTCTAGCAGATGTAGCGTAAGATGAGACAAGAAAAGATAACTAACATATGAATACTATAGTCAAGAAGAATAGCACTAAAAAAAATAAGTAAACATAATTAGACTAGAGAATTATAAATTTTTTCTAGAAACTACTCTATAAATCAATGAGACGGTTAGCCAGCTGCCGGAAACGGCGACATTCGACGCCATTTTTCGCGTCACTCTAACCGCCCGTTCCCACCACGCCCATCCCCTCTTCCTGCCACGCACCCTCCCCCCATCACGTGACCCATTGGCTGCCCCTTAGTGCCTGGCCCAGCCCGCGCTTGCTCGCGCGCGGCTGCTTCCTCAGGACCCGTTCATCCATTTCATCTACTCACCTCACACTCACCCTGCCATTGCCTGCCGCAGCGCTGCCCCAGCGATGACCACATTTTTTTGAGGAGAGGGGAGCCAGTTCTGGCTCCCTGGCTCCC